CTGACTCGTGTCCCTGTCCAAGTGTCTTATCCATTCTTTTCCCACAAGCAGACTTGGGGCCAGGCACTCCTGAACTGGGGTCTGGGCCTCATTAGCAGTAAAACGGAAGTGGGTAATTGGAATGTGTAAGTGACATAGAGAAATAGGGAGTTTTAACAGTTAAAACCCAAAGGAAGGCACTTAGTTAAGTGAAAGAAAGGAGCCCACAGCCCAGGGAGCCAATCACTGGAGCCAGAGGAGGGGCAAGGGGCCTAGTCAGAAGGAAGGGACATTGTGGCACTGTGTGCTCATTTCTGTTTCTAAAATGTCAGGTCTCAGGTGCTAAATCTTGGTGACAACCCTCCCTAACTACATCTTCAGCTGGCGCTCCCCTCCGGGTTCCCACAACTTCCTTGCTTGTGCTTAGAGCCTCTTAGCTGAGCTCAGCTTTGTAGCTAATCTCATTGAGTTGGCTTCCCCACTTCTGCTCTGTCCTCCAGTCACTGGCCCTTTCTTGAACTGTTGAGACTGGATCATACCTATGTAGGTCAGAAGTAACCCCATGGTCACGTGTTACATCCATGGTGTATTCCTAAGTCTTCCCACTAGGCTCCTTTCCTGTTCAAGCTTGCCTCCCATTCTCCCAGGTTCTGTGCTCTGACTCACCTCCAAGTGTTTGCTTGTGTCAAATTCCCACCCAGCACAGTGGGCTCTATGCACAGTAGACTGCAGTTAAAGGCACAGACAATGGAATAAGATTCTTAAGGCTTGATTCTAGAAGCTCTTGTCTCTCAGCCGTGTAACTGTGGGTCAGGCACCTAATGTCTCTGTCTCATTTTCTCTGTGGTTAATATGGGGAACAATAAACACAATGATGGTCTTCTAATTGTTGCAAGGATTAAGTAAAATAATCTCTGTGAAGCACTCAGTCCAAGTCATAGGTAAACAGTAAACATTCAATAAATGGTGGTTATGGTGGTGGTGGTGATGGTGGTGGTGGTGATGGTGGTGGTGGTGATGGTGGTGGTGATGGTGGTTGTGGTGGTGGTGGTGATGGTGGTGATGGTGGTTGTGGTGGTGATGGTGGTGGTGGTGATGGTGGTGGTGGTGGTGGTGGTGATGGTGGTGGTGGTGATGGTGATGGTGATGGTGATGGTGGTGGTGATGGTGGTGGTGATGGTGGTGGTGATGGTGGTGGTGGTGATGGTGATGGTGATGGTGATGGTGGTGGTGATGGTGGTGGTGATGGTGGTGGTGATGGTGATGGTGGTGATGGTGATGTTGGTGGTGGTGGTTGTGGTGGTGATGGTGGTGGGCATTTCATGAATCAGGGCATTGAAAAGCAATGATGACACACATGGCAAAATTGTTTTTCATTTGTATATCTCATTTTTACAACTAATATTGACTTAATTACTCAGTTCCTCTATTTCCCTTAGATGGGGAGCAATGAATGACCAGGAAATAAGTAAATGCTCAAAGGAAGGATGAATGAGTTCATCCAGTGCATAGAGTAGTTCACGCAACCTAAGTATTTAAAGGAAACTATTAAACTAATATTAATGAGACTGTAAAGTTACTTTAAAGGTTAAGGCAAGGGAAAATCCTACTGTTATTGCCATATAGAGAGAGGGAGGCAGAGTGCCACTTAACTCAGGAATCCTTCACCGGGTAGGCTCAAATATGTAAACACTGGGTCCCCAGTAGATGGCGCTGTTTTGGAGGAGTGTGGACCCTTTGGGAGGTGGAGCCTTGTTAGAGGGGTTGAAAGCCTCACCTACTTGGTGTTTGAGCTCTTGGCTTCTTGCTTGCATTTGGAGATGTAAGTACTCAGCTATCTGATCCTGCTGTCACGGCTGCTGCTTGTTGCTATGTAGCCCTGTCACGATGGACTCTTACTATCTCTGTAGAACTGTAAACCCAAATAAACTCTTCCTTCTACAAGTTGCTTCTGGTCATGGGTATTTTATTGCAGAAGCAGAGGAATAACTAATACAGAGTTCAGATTCCTACACTAGAGGTTGAATCAATGGAGCCACCCTATGGATCCACCCAAAGTGATCCACCCTATCCTCCAAAATAACAGTTTGGGCTTTTGGCTAACAGTGAGCTGAAAGAAATCTTTTCTTTATAAAGTTTTGGGCTTTTGATATTTTTCATAGCAAGAGAAATTGGGCTAATATAGGGATCAAAAGTATTTAGGTAAGAATAGAGGTGGCAAATTTGAGGATTAGCGAGTGAATGGGATTTTAATGTCATAGGATGGACTGGGACACGAAAACAATAGATGCTAGAATCTTCTGATGTTCGGACTGCAACTCACGCTGTTCCTGTTCCTTGTTTTTGATACACCGTCACTCTTTGTCTTGCTGTCATGTCCTAATGGCATCTCATGATCCTAGTAACTTTAGGGATGTAGGACACGAGATTCCCCTTAGGTGGACTCGGCACTGTGTTGTGATTACACGGGCCTTCAAATGGTACTTACTGTCCCTCATGACTTTTATGACATTTCAAAGCCCTCTATTAGAAATCTGAACAGCTCTCTCCATTGGATTATGAAACCATTGAAATAAGTCAATTTTCCAGACTCAATTACCTGCCAGCTCCTTTACCCTGGGGTTTAATTGGATCAGAGTCATGGCTTTGATATTGAGTTTTCTTCATCCTTTATGAGAGGCATGGAAATGGCCTTTGTGTCTCTACCAGAACTCTTCATGTACCTGAAGATCTAAGGTGCCATTATTTGATGATTACACTTTTTATTGAATGCTGAGTAATAAGATATTACGTCTCTGTCCTGGTTTTGCTTCCACGGCTGTGCTAAAACACCGACAAGAACCAACTTGAGGGAGAAAGGGTTTATTTCATCTTACAGGTTGCAAGACGTCCTTGAGGGAAACGGAAGCAGGAGCTGGGTGTGTGTGGGCACCATGGGAGGAATTCTGCTTACTCACTTGCCCCTAGGTTTACCTTCAGATACTATTCTTAGACACTATAGGACCCCCAGCCTAGGAATGGCACCACCCACAGTGGACCCATAAAAAGGCCCACAGGCCAGTTTGACTACTGTAATTCCTCAGTTGAGGTTCCCTCTTCCCAGATGGATAATCAATGCCAATCATTACATCTTTTTTTTTTTTTTTCTTTTCTTTTTTTTTTTTTTTTTTTTTTTTTCTCCCTGCAGGGCCCGAGGTTCATCTAGCAAGGCTAGATGGCTGGGCAGGGTCCAGTAAGTGGGCTGGAGCGTGCTGCTGCCTGAGGGGAGAGGGGATGTTGTCTCTAAGCCAGGCATTCCCTTTTGCCTTGGCCTTTTCTCTTCAGAATTTGTGCTGAGCTATTACTATGTTCCAACCCATTGTGTATCATTGATCTACCTATAATGGGCTGGGCCTACCCTGCTCTGAACCATTCAGATCCATAGGCTGTTTCAGGCCTAACCAGAAAATATCTTAAACTATCTTTCTCTGTCTATCGAGGATGGGCGTGAGTTTTCCAATTTTCTGTTTCTTTCTCATTCTCACAGGTCAGCTTCTGGAGAAATTATTGTGATGCAACAAGCAGCTGGTTGCTTTGCCAATGCTACACAGCTAACACCTTCATCCATCCTTCTAGAAAACCTTCCACAGCTTCCTCCCTTCCTCTGACCTCTTGTCTACATATGCCCCGACCCTTCCAATTCTCTTTGGTTCTGATCATCCAACTTCCCCAAGCTGGCTTTCTCTCTCTCCCCCCTCCTCTCTTTCCTCTTGTAGACTGAGAATGGATTCCCAACCTTGCTCACAGCTATATTGCCCTCTCTACCACACCCGATCGATATTCATGAGAGAGGATACGTGAAAGTAAGGAGTCATCCTCACCTAGGGCAGCAAGCCGGCTTCCCTAACATGCCTGTGGTGGGCGATGGGGAGCTTGCCGTCTGCCAATGGTGCCAGTGACTGACCAGATTTCTTCCTCTGCCACAAGCAGATCTCAGCCACGTTTCTCCTCTATTCGGCTGTCTAGAAGGCTCTTCTGGACATTGTCATGGTTATTCTCGCCTTACCACTTGCCTCTCGCCTTAAAATGTCACCTCTTCCGTGGGGTCTTCCAGGATCCGCTCCCCAAGTCACAGAATGGATGGCTTCTCTGATTCTTTCTATCCTAGAAATAACTCGTCTCACACTTGCTTTTCCTTTTTCCTTTCTCTCTGTCGCTCAAGTTTTATGAGCACAAGGGCCTCAAACCTTGCATGGAGAGCAGTACCCTGTCACAGGACAAATTCATCGCTGTGGGTTCATTGATTTCCCTGAAGGATCCTAATGGGATCAGAGGGCATGACTGGCTTCCCTTCTGTAGGAATTAGGAGCCAAGCAGAAATTAGGATAGTGATTCTGGTGTTACAGGCATCTCTCAACTCTCTGCCCACCTACACATACAAGGGGCTACCCAAAGACTACTGGAAGCAGTGACCCCCATGATCCTTGAACACGAATGAATATTGCCACCACGGAGCCAGTTGGGTGAGGCTTGGGCTTGTCTAACCCAGCAACTTAAGATTTTTACCTCCGAAGACAAGCAGAGGTGGAGGGTGGAGACTGAACATAAAGCTGCAGCCAGTTTCTGCCCACCTCCCTTTTATTTTCTCCTGTCGCCCAGGGGGAAACCCCAACGCCCACGGGGCTTGGGGAAGCTCCTGCGCCACTGACGCAGCATCCACGACCCGGCAGACGCAGCAGCAGCAGAGGCCTCAGCTTGGGCGATGCGGACCCCCAAGGTTAGCTTGGGTAGGGGGCGGCGGGGAGAGACTAGGCGCCGCCTGGGCCTCCCGCAACCAAGGGGCGGGAACGATGGAGCCCCACCCCTGCGAAGGAGGGAGGGAACCCGTGAGCGCTGCGGGTGGTGAGCGCTCCGCCCAAGCTCGCCTGCTTCTGCTGCTGCCGCCGCTGCAGCGGGGCTAGGGCTGAAGCGGCGGGCTGGGCGCGGGCGGGAGCCGGGAGGAGGGAGGAGGCGGCGGCGCGTGTGCCAGGCGGGCGGGCGGGCGGGCGGGAGGGCGGCTGGCACAGGGCTTGTAAATAAACTGCGATGCTGTCTCGGGCTCGCCGGCCCTGGTGCGGCCGCCGCCGTCGCCTCACGGGAGCTTCGGTGCCAGGCTCCCGCCGCCGCGCGCCCTAGCGCCACCGCGCCAGCCTCGCGCGCCCTCGCCGGGTTCCCCGCGGACCCCGGCTCCCCGCGCCCCTCGGGGTCCCGCGGCGGACCCGCTCGGGATGTGACCCCTTGACTCCCCACCCGACCTCCCCTGCCCCCCGGGAGGCCCGCCTTTGCCTGCTTTTGGGGGGGTGGGCGGGGAGGGGCGCGCGGATCATGGCATTGGAGTTCCCGGGTTTGCAGCCGCCGCCGCCGCCTCGTCCACGCACCCCAAGCGCCCCTTCTTCCCAGAGGAGCAGCGGAGGAGGCGAAGCGCCCGGTGGGGGCGAGGCAGATGGGGCTCAAGGCTCGCAGGGCAGCGGGGGCGGCCGGCGGAGGAGGAGGCGAAGGGGGCGGCGGAGGCGGCGGGGCAGCTAACCCCGCCGGAGGGGACGCGGCGGCGGCCGGCGACGAGGAGCGGAAAGTGGGGCTGGCGCCAGGAGACGTGGAGCAAGTCACCTTGGCGCTAGGGACCGGAGCCGACAAAGACGGGACCCTGCTGCTGGAGGGCGGTGGCCGCGAAGAGGGGCAGCGGAGGACCCCGCAGGGCATCGGGCTCCTGGCCAAGACCCCCCTGAGCCGCCCAGTCAAGAGGAACAACGCCAAGTACAGGCGCATCCAAACTTTGATCTACGACGCCCTGGAGAGACCGCGGGGCTGGGCGCTGCTCTACCACGCGCTCGTGTGAGTACCCGGCTGCTCGGGGCGCCCCTTGGCGGCCGTGCACCTTGGGGTTCGGGGCCGGGGCTGAAGCTGAGCAAGTGTCTGTGGTTTTGGCCACTCAGAAGCGCTCTGTGGCTTGGGTTGGAGGTGGGCGCGCGCGGGAGGGGAGGGGAAGGACACCAGTCTGGCTTTAGCCCACGGTTCGCTGCTGTGTGACTGAAAGCAGCTCGTTGGACACCAAGGGCTTAAATGAAGCAAACGTGGTTCCCGAGCTGACTTCGAGATTTGTACTGGCGAGTGCGCGCGGGTGCGCGTTTTATGGTACCTTCTGTGATGTTGACACGGAAGCTGATATAAATTAGGTGATTTTTTTTTCTTCTTCTTTTCTTCTGATTCTAATGAGTGTAGCAGTTGAGTAAGACAAAACCGTCCTCCCACAATTACCGTTTCTTCTTGCGGTGGCTAGCTTGCTTCTCTTGCGATCACCACTCAATTTAGATGATGTATCCCAGAGTTGAGGATGGTAGTGTGCACACTGCCCATAATGTGTGTGTGTGTGAGAGAGAGAGAGTGTGTGTGTGTGTGTACGCGAGTGTTACATGAGTGTGCTACCCTTCCTAAGAGCTCTCTATGCTGATGTCAAAAAAGGACTCGGTTTTGCTCTAACTGGGGGCTTGGACAGGCCAAAATGCTGGTCTTTGTGCTGTGTTAGGAAAATGAATAGAATAGGAGAGGGGCGGGATTTCCAACCTTAGTCTAAGGGGTTGGGTTTTAGCAGAGGCAGAGTGGGGTGAGGATTATCTAAGGCTGGAGCATCGCTATGGTTTCTGGTTTAACATCCCATAGTTTAGGTTCTGCTATCTCCGTAGCTTCAACAATTGCCCATCTAGCAGTTTGGCTGGACCACAGCAATGGGCACCTGAGAGTCCTGGTGGCAAGTTTGTCCCCAGGGACTCCCCTAGAAATAATCTCCATGCTAGCCAAGAGGTACATGCCAGCCCAGAAGGAAAATGGAACTCCAGCTGTACCAATTCGAGGCTGGAAAATGCAACCATATTTAAGGAGGAATGCAGGGTGCAAGCAGAGGGATCTCCCACCTGGGACTGGAATTCTGACTGTCAGAACACTTGGGATGTGACAAGGCACTTCTTGCTACCAGCTGCTTCCGAGCTCTGTTGTAAGAGCTATATGGTTGTCACGGTTTGGGGCAGGAAATTGGCTGTGACCTTGACCCTGGACCCTTCCTATTTTAGGCAGTTGGTTTCCCTCCAGTTGACCCTTGACTGACAAAGCTGGAATGTCTTCTGTTTGTTAAGTGCCTGTCTTTTAAGGTTGGAAGAGCTTTCCCTGATTTGGCCACCAGGTGGGGGGCGTCCACACAGGACATCAGATTTGTGCTGCAACAGGTTTCTTCCTGTTTAGGCAGTCCTGAAAACTCAGGGAGCAGCTGGAGGAAGAAGGATGGAGAACTTTGCTAGGGACTTGGATGCATTTGTGTTGTTCAAGCCTTTGACCCCTGTGTATTTGCTGGCGTTGGGAGGTGTCTGACACAAAGCTTAACCGTCCTTGTTCTTTCATGGCGGATTAAGATTAAACTGGCATCCCTCCCTTGGTCTCTAGCGTCTGTGTTCGGATTGAAGTGAACTAAATAATAGAATGCATGTAGTTTTAAAAGCCCAACAAACAACCCCATCTCCTGCATAAAGACGTGTTCTGTGTGGATTGGATGGCATTGGAACCTGGGGTTCTATTGAAGCTTGACATTACTTCTTTCCTCTCTTTCCTCTCCTACCTTTCAGAGCTGGTACTTGCAACCTTGGCTTTCCCAGCTAACGGAGAGAATAGCTAAAGCCCAACAATGTCATTTTGTTATAATGTGATTACTGTGGAATTGCTCATCTCTGAGAAACAGGTTTGTAAGTGCCAAGCCTATGGCCTCAGAGAGGACCCAGAAAAACTGAAGACCATAAGAAGTATCAGATATACACAAAATTTTGCTCAGTTGTCACATGACCACAATGACCTGATGGTCATAATTTACCTTTTATGGCTGAAAATTTGACTGCTACAACAGATAAAATCAGTTGTTGAGAATTGTGGGACTAATGTCTCCCAACCTCATACCTGGCTTTGTTGCTGAGCCCAGTTCTGACTCTTGGGGTGTTTTGCTGAAGCATCGCTGGTTGCTGATTGCTCATTGGGAACACAAGGCTGTTTGTAATGTGTTTTTCTAGCTCATGTAGGAAAGCCTAACAGGTTCCAATCAGAACCCAGAAGCCACAGTGTTAGGAAAATGTGAAGTGGGCTGGGATGGTTCTATTTGTGGCTTCTGATAAACGGGACACTTTATAGGAAAGCCCCTCTTGGGCTAGCTTTGAGCTCCTATTACTTAGACAAGCTTACTAAGTGGGTGCATTTTACATCCTTCCTCAAGCTCAGGAGGAACCAGGGCAAGGGAGCATAGCTGAGTCTTCATTGATGGTTCAGGATTTTGCAAGGGCTTACAATTCAGTCCTTAAAGTGTCCATTATCTTGTGCCGGCCTGTGGCTAATGGCAGGAGGGGACCAAGAAACTAAGTTGACCATGAGCGTATGGTCCAGTGTGCTCTCTTTCTTTTGTAAATTAAACGGGCCTGTGATGTGAACAATCTTTATCTCCTCTGTCCTAAAGATAAAATACAGGAAATGTGGGAATAAATCATCTCTCCCACCTTGCTTCCTATGTCTTAAAGACCCATCCCCTACTTTCCCCTAGCTGTTTACCTTCACCCTGGCAATGAATGGACTGGTTTCACCACCCCCAAGAATCTTTTCCCAGACTCCCCATTTGGCCGGGCAGAAGTTGTCCCTTACGTCTTCTCCAGCAATAGAATTTTGTGTGCTGCCTCGAGTTGATTCGCTTGCATGTCTGCCCTAAGAAGCTAAGAGGGTGGCATTCTCCATCCCCCAGGAGGCTGTAGAATCCATGGTAGGTACTAAGTAAGCATTTGCTGTGTGGATGCCTGGCAGAATTCTCTCAGGACTCTAGTTAATGAAGACCTTGCTGTAACAGCTTTACTCTTACAACAGCCACAGCCGTGAACAGCTGAAGTCAGCATCACGGGGTTTTAATGAGAGTAGTCCTTAGGACTGTTGGGCTTTGGCAGGGGTAGGCAAGGTAGGACTCATGATTGGCTTCAGGAGAAGCTGACTAGAGTCCTGCCCTTGGCTAACTCTGCTATTACAGAAGACATGCTGGGTTCCGAGTTGGCATACACAGCTTTGCAGAAACTAAGTAGGAATGACCTGGAAGCTGAAAGCTGAGCATGGTGGTACAGCCTCATTGAAGGCCGGTCTCCAAGCTCAAACTAGCGTTTGTGGATATAGCAAGCCACCATCGGGGGCTCTGTATTCAGTTGATTTTGTATAGCAGTCTCCTTTGAAGTCCTACATACTCGATACTGTCATTGTCCTGAGCCTGTTAGTAGAGAGATGCTGGCCTTATCTTGGCATTGGCACTGGCTTGGCACTCTGAAGGCAACCTGTTGCCCTAGCCAGATCTTTGCAGCCAGCTGGGTTATTGCCCCTTGCCACCTGTTAGCAAACCAAAAGAAACCTGGAGAACCAGCTGCTGCTGGACTTCTCAGGGAAGCTGGCTTCAGGCATCTGGCAGGCAAGGCTGGGTGCTTAGATCAGTGGACTCAGCCTGGTTGGTGTGCTGCAGAGTTCACCCTGGGCATGGGGTTGGTGAAAAACACCCCCACGTGTAATTATTGGCACTTGACAAATAGGCTCTCTTTTGCCCCCTCTGGATCGTGTTTAATCTGTTTCCCTTTCTGCACCTCTCCATAACACCGTCTCCTTTATGGCAATCTCTCTCTATTTTTGTATTTATTTTCTAACCCCCTCCCTTCCTCCTGGATCTTCTCTGGGGGTATTTTCAGGTTGCACGAGGGGGCTAGGTAAGCTGATGGGTATCAACAGCCCATCAGTAGTATCTTTTGTTGTGTTTTAATCACAGTGTTTCTCCCTTCCCTTCCCTCCTTCGCAACTCTTCCACGCACCCCTTTCTGCTCTCCTTCAAATTCATAGCCTCTCTTTCCGTCAGTTGTTATTGAATGCACATATGTATTTGTATATACGTATGTATTCCTAAATATAACCTGCCTGGTCTGTATAGTGTTACTTGTGTGTACATTTTCAGGACTGGCCATTCGGCACTGGATAACCAATCGGTGGGCTCCTCGCTGGGGAGGACTCTCTCTCTCCAGCTCCCAGCTTTTCTTGGTTGCCCATAGTTCTTTGTGTAGGGCTGAGGCCTTATGGGCTCTTTCCCATTTAGTTTGTCACATCTGTTGGTGTCCTTGTTCAGCAGACATTTGGGTCGTCATCTTGGTGAGACTGTGTGAGTATAGCATCTGATGTTACTAGGAGACACAATCTCAGGGCAAAGTCCTTAATCCTCTGGCTCTCACACTCTTTTTATGTCTTCTTCCACAAGGTTCCCTGAGCATTAGGTGTCAGAGTGTTTTATAGGTGCATCCATTCTGACTGGGCTCCTCAAGTCTGCATCTGGCCTGCTTGTGGTTTTCTGTAGCTGTCTCCCTGTTTTGCAAAGAGAAAGTATCTTTGATGAATGGTGAGGATTTATTGTGAGTATAAGAACAAAAGATTGTTGTTAGGGATTATGCTGGTTTAGTAATTCAGTGGTTGTAGATTCTACACCAATAACCACGATTTCACTAGCAATGGGTTAGGTAACCTGGGTTTCCAGTACCAGGCATGGTATTCCTCTTATTGAGTTCCTCTTATGGCCAATTAGAGGCATGTATGACATCCTGCACCCATAGGGTTATCATGCCATCCTGGTTGTTGATGTAGTTCATAGGCATCACATCTGCCTAGGACTGTTGTCTACCTCCCTCCTTTGGAAGCTTACTTGGAAAGTTAGTCCTTGGGGGGGGGGGGGATTCAGGTCAGTTCCAGCATAGGGGATCTGGGCCAGCCCTTAGCATCTTATCTTTAGGAAGTAGGAGGCAAGT